CACAATCTCAGCTAGCCATCGAGATACCACTGGGAAAGAGTGTCAGGTGTTTTCCTAGTCTGACTAGATCCTTACCTCCTCGTTTTTCGGCATTAGGCTGACACATTGGACAGAATATGGGCCATCTCGCTCCCGAAATCTGCGCTTTGACGTGGTTCAATAGACAACCGCGGCACATGGTGTGCCCACAACCGTCCACTTTGACACTATCGGAAGGTGGGTACATGTCTGTACAGATAGTGCATTCGAAGGGTTGGTTAGCGAGCTCTCTCTGCTTGAGAGCCTCCCATGCTGCTATCTGGGCTTTGTCCTCTTCTTCCATTTGCTGAGCCAGCCGCATGGATGCTTCATACTCTTCGTTAAACTGTGCCTGTAGTCTTGCAGCCTCCTCGTAACTTTCTTGCAAGTCTCCTTGCTGGTGGTAATCGGCATCTCCGGGGATTTCCTCTGCTTGCAGTCGCAGTGCCATTTCATAACTGCTCTGTAGATCCTTTGTGGGTGTATCATATCCATCCATCGCGGGCGGGGATCTGGAACCTCCTGAATAAGGGTTCCTCCATGTCGAATGCGATGAACCAGAGGCTTGTCTTGGGTCACTGGTCTGTACTCAATAGGTCAGGGGGGTGACAGAAAGAGTTTGACTCGACTTACGCTAGAAGGGGATCCATATGTTTTTCTTGGTTTGGAAGATGTTATACCATACATCCAAAGGGGTTTTTTGCCCTTCTACTACACGGTCAATACTCGCCAGCTCATAATCAGGACACATACCCCTTTGTCGGACTTGCTTGGCTTCTCGTCATGGACATAGTGGAAGGGTGTACTACCTTGGAATGATTCGTTGCTTGTACGATCGCCGCCACCCGCCCAACCATTCATTGCTAAACTCTTGATACTGTCGAGTTGACTCAGTTCATCTTCGACCTTTGCAATCTTTTGGTGTGTGCTAAGTGACTTTGCCACAAGGTCATCCATCTTGTCTGTCTCAAATGCAATGTTCTTTTGGAGTGTTGCAAGGGAACGCTTGTCATCTGCGGCATCAGACTCTGCTCTCTTTTTCTTCATTTGGACCAGCAACAGTTGAAGGTTGGCATTATAGACGGCCAGCTGTTGATCTTTGAACAAGTCGGACCGTTGACTCCCGAGAACGTAACAGGTGAGGGGTTCTTCGTCCATAAATGAGCCGTAAAAGTATTCAGCGGATTCAGCAATTGAGCCGAAGTAGAGAAAAGCTGCATCGTCGGCACCAAATGCGCGGAGGGTAAATATGACTATAGATGGGTCGTTCTCAGAGTCTTCTCTATGGAAAGGCAGGACGAGAATAGCATCCTCTCTTCCAGTCACCAATGCCGGGCGTTTCACGCGATGGATGGATCTAAGGTTGGCAAAAGTGAACCGGGAAGCTTGGAACGAGTTTATAGCGAGCTTACTGTATCAGCTTCTGAATCTGCGGCAACAAGTTGGTACCTTTTTCGGTTTCGAGCAATTCCAACCGAGACTGGAATATTGGCAACTCAAAGATCTCTTTCGGATCCACGCTCATATCTTTGCAGTGCTCGTATATCGAAATGATTCTCTAGAAAGTAAATCAGTCTTTGTAAACCATCGTTGCTGCGCACCCACAGGAAGGAGCCTGGCATCTTTGAAGCTGCTCATCGAGCTAGCACCCGCCTCAAAATACTCGATAACAAACGAAGCAGCATTTGCACATATCACAGCGCTCACGCTGACCGATTTGGGGGCGATTTTAAAGTGGAAAGTCGATAGGACGAGTTCCGGCGTCCATTCCATCCCAACGCCTGACTCGGAGCCGGAGTCGTCGACAACAGCGGTCCTTGGAGAGTCGTCTTCGAACGATTTAAAGCTAGCAGAATCGTCTGA